CTCGGAGTCTCCCATTTCTCCCGCTCCTACGCTCGAGACACTCGGAGTCCTCCATCTCTTGTGCTTGGAGTCTCCCATTTCTCCCGCTCCTACGCTCGAGACACTCGGAGTCCTCCATCTCTTGTGCTCAGAGTCCCCCATCTCTTGCGCTCCTAGGCTCAAGACGCTCCAAGTCCTCCATCTCTCGCGCGCGGACGCCCCCATCTCTCGCGCTCCTATGCTCGAGATGTTTGGACATCTCTCGGTTGGGAACAAGATATTTTGAAATTTGTTGATCAGAGACTTCATATATTGGATAAGACGATGGTTCTTGCATAATTGTTCTTGCTCTGTATTGCCTTTTGCCGAGATGCACTCAATGTGTCCGATGATTTGCCTTTGTGATTTTAGTGTCAATTTTCTTGTGCTATTAATCAAATTTGGTGATACTTGCACGATCTGGATGACTTCGTCTAATGCATTGATCGTTTGAGATACTTCTTGGTTTATTCTCTCTTGAGGCCGAGAACTAGGGTTGAGGTTTGTGAGAAAATTGTCTCTGATTATGAATTTATTAGTAATATAAACACACATTGATGTTGTTGTGACAGTTTGGAATTAGACGATGCTTCGAGGCTTAGCAAAGATATCCAGTCATGTACCAACTAAATGATGTCGTGACAGTTTGGAATTAGACGATACAAAGACGGGAGAGCAATTGAACTGGATATCTTTGGGTCATCTACACTTAACCACGGCTTTGATGAGGCACCAATAATTGATCGCTCAATGGCCTCTTATCAGGTACGCACATGCTGATGTTGTTGATCAAAACAGACATTTATTTCATGGTTTCGAAATCACCACAATAATTCGAAGTGATGTGTAATGTGCTTGGGTTCCATATTCGGTCATTTCAGGCTGGTTCAAGCTTTCGGTCAAATATTTTCTATTTCAAATGACAAATTTTGTATCATCGGAACTTATTAATGTTTTAGATATATTATTAATGATTGATAAGTACATACTTTCTTACCAAGACAAAAATTGAATACCTGAAATGAAAAAAAGCTACCTATGGTCATTTTTGTTAAAATAGACAACGAGTTCACAAAACATCTTTGCTACCTATGGTAATTTTTGTTAAAATAGACAACGAGTTCACAACCCATCTTTGCCCCTCCACAACGCCAACTCTACAATGGCTGACAAACGGTTCAAGTGAACTAATAGCTGCAAAGAGAATTTCTCATAAAATAAACATCTACAGCAAGCAATGTTGCACCATCCAACCAACCTAACATTGACACAATTAAAGCTTCCACCAATATGAGTATAACTCTAACACTTCTTCTCCTTCGCTTGCATTCACATAATATCATTCTATAAGCCATTGTTCAATTGATTCTCCACATTTTGCAGCCTCTCCTTCAATGTCTCATTATCATTCATCAGTTGGCGATTCACTTCTTTCTCTTGCATTGTCAGATAAGGATCAATCCATTTAAAAAATCCATAATCATCAACCTATCAAAAGAAAATAATACTTTCTAATAGGTTTAGATACAGCATTGTTCAAAATTGCTAAAATTATAGCTAACAAACATGGCTTTACTTCTTATATGAATGACTACATCAAGCAGTTATAAATTACTTAACCTCCATGTTGAATGGTGAAATAATCTCCTCACAGGAATTCTTGGGGTTCACGAGGTACAAAGGGTTGCTCGTCGCTGTTGCCTGCATGAAACGCTACAATCGTCGCTCATGAATTGACTCGATGCTCTGCCGCCACTGTTAGAACCTCCATTCTGCATTGATTTGCATTCAAAAATAGGAGCAAACTACTAATCTAATACCCACTCATCATAAAAATGCTTATGGAAGAGCTAAACTTTAATTTGAACAGATTTACAACCACTTAACCTTAATCTAACATCTAACCAAAAAAAAACCTCAATCTAACATCATTTACATGAGATCCACTTCGCACAAAGCTCTCCATGGTGACTAGCATTGGTTTTCTCCGTCAAATCACTCTTTTCCTATGGAGATATGCTTTGCAACATCTGGACAATCATCCTCATGAGCAACATGCATACATATGTCTTAGCTATGGTCAAATGGACATGTTTCAAAGACGTATACCCTCAGTTTAAACGTGCAATAGTCAATCAATCACTAAGATGTAAGAGCACTTTTCAAACTTGAACATTGATTCGTTTTGGCATTTTAACAAACACGTGGAGGTTAGTTCGAACAAAAGGCATAAATGAAGCATCGTCTAATTCCAAACTATCACAACAACATCAATGTGTGTTTATATTACTAATAAATTCATAATCAGAGACAATTTTCTCACGAACCTCAACCCTAGTTCTCGGCCTCAAGAGAGAATAAGCCAAGAAGTATCTCAAACGATCTAACGCATTAGACAAAGTCATCCAGATCGTGCAAGTATCACCAAGTTTGATTAATAGCACAAGAAAATTGACACTAAAATCACAAAGGCAAATCATCGGACACATTGAGTGCATCTCGGCAAAAGGCAATACAGAGCAAGAACAATTATGCAAGAACCATCGTCTTATCCAATATATGAAGTCTCTGATCAACAAATTTCAAAATATCTTGTTCCCAACCGAGAGATGTCCAAACATCTCGAGCCTAGGAGCACGAGAGATGGGGGCGTCCGCGCGCGCGAGATGGAGGACTTGGAGCGTCTTGAGCCTAGGAGCGCGAGAGATGGGGGACTCCGAGCACAAGAGATGGAGGACTCCGAGTGTCTCGAGCGTAGGAGCAGGAGAAATGGGAGAGTCCGAGCACAAGAGATGGAGGAGTGAGCGGAAGATTCGAGTGACGTGAGAGAGAGAGAGAGAGAGAGGAGACATGTGAAGAAGAGAGAGCAATTGAAAAGCCAAATCCTAAGGCTCCTCCAAGAAAACGTCGTTTTGCAAAGAATCTGTCCATGTTAGCTTTCTACAATAAATTTCATTGATGACGTGGAAATTCCATGTAGGATCATGAACGGCCATATTGGACGAAAAGTTAACGATGGTAAATTTGAGACAAAAGTAAAGATTTGGGGTTTTTTATGAGATAAAAAAAAGTTTATGATATAATTGGGACAAAGCCTAAAGTTTGGGATTTTTTTTGGGTATCGAGCCTTTAAAATTGCCATAAACTCGGAGCATTTTTTTATTATGATGATTCTTATCACTTGATTGGCAGTCCAATGAAGGTTTTTTTTTTTTTTTTGATAACCGAGGTGTCCGCGCGGCCGGCGAGCTAGGGCTAAAACCAGCGGTGATGCCTGACTAGTCCTCGAGGGGGCCTAGCGCAGCATCCCACCGCCACGACTCCCCACTTAAATCACCGATGGGCGAGTTTTGAACCCAGGATCTCTCATGAAAGGAACTGAGCGCAAACCAACGCGGCCATCGATGGGTGAGTCGCAGTCCAATGAAGGTTTCTTCGTTGCAGATATGAAAATGATTGCCATGCAATCAATCAAATGGTTCACTGATCTGGGATCAGGTCAAAGGAATGACTATAGCATTGAGTAAGCATTACTGCTCGGAGAAACCTTTTTCGTACAGAAACCAGAGAACCATATTCTAAAACTTGCACGTCACCAACCCAACCGACATAAGCGTGGCTCTTATTCCTTAAAGAATGGAAAACAAAAGGAAGAGATTATCAGTTCCTGATAGTCATCGGTAAGATGCTGGCTGAAGCTGTCGCTGCCTGTGTCGGAGTTCGCAGAGGCGTTCGATGCGGCATTGAGGCTGTCAGCGGAGCGGGCGATGAGCCCATCGCCACTGGTCTGAAGAATCAAGCGGCAGCTCAACGTCGGCAGCGAGAGGAGGCTCAGGGAGGCCATCAAGATGGTCAACGCCCTTGCCGACGAGGTAATCAATCAAAAGCCAGAAATGGGTCCTTCGGAAGGTCGCAACGATCTTCTCTCGAGATTCATGATCACCGTCAACGACGACAGGTACTCGAGGGACATCGTGGTAAGCTTCCTTCTGGCGGGTCGCGACACGGTGGCGTCCACGTTGACCAGCTTCTTCTGGCTGGTGTCGCAGAACCTAGAGGTCAGAGACGCCGTAAGGGAGGAATCGGACCGGGTCACGCCAGCGACGGCCTCGCGAGCTTCGACCAGATGCGCAAGATGCACTACTTGCAAGCGGCTCTGTACGAGTGCGTGAGGCTGTACCCACCGGTCCAGTTCAACTCGAGGTTCGCGCAGGATGTTGACAGAAATGGGTCAAGAAGGGGATGAGGGTCATGTACCACCCCTACGCCATGGGTCAGATGGAGTGGTTGTGGGGCACGGACTACCTTGAATTCACGGCCCGGGCGGTGGCTGACAAGGGACGGGATCTTCTCACCCAAGAGCCCGTACAAGTGCCCGGCTTTCCAGGCCGGATTCGGGTCTGCCTGGGCAAGGAGATGGCCCTGGCAGAGATGAAGAGCGTCGCACTCGCTCTGGTCCGGCGGTTTGATGTCCACGTCACAGACGGTCATCGAGGGCCCCGGTTCGTGCCGGGGCTCACCGCCAGCATCAGAGGGGATTGCCTATGGTGATTGAAGAGAGAACAGTTGCTTCATGATGAGGAGAAACTATTTTGGGTGTACCCTAAATAAGGATGCTAATTAACATTTTATATATGAAGTTCACTAACCCCACTTTGACCACGCTACATGGCTATGTGAACTGTGAACCGCCTGAGGAAGATTGTGTGTATATTGATTAAGTGGAAATGAATTGGAAAAATGGTTTATATTCACTCGTGCCAAGAATAGATAACACAAAATGCACGTACTCTATATTCACTTGTTCACTTGTTGTAAAGAGTTTTATTAAGAGAAATGAACAGATATATGGAATGGAAACTAGCCAGAGAGGTCATATTTCACCCCACTCTGGACCTTATTGTATCAACTTAACAACAGAAGGTGTATATAACTTTGCACATGAATGAGACTGAGAGATCGAGGAGTGATTATATGCATATTTATCTCTTGCAGACAACTCCACTGCCCTCTACTCCGCCAGCGCACTCAAGATCGGCGTACTCAAAATTCTCGGTCGAGTTCCTCGGCGCCAACTGGCCGATGAACCGGGATGCTGCACAGTCGGTGGTGAAAAGGCCTGAAGATGCGAACTCCCTCTCACCTCCCAGCACCGGCATTGCCACGTCCATCTTTGCCCTGCTCACGTAGTTCCTCGCGTATGTCTGCCCCAAGACACCGCTCACGTCACTGCTCAATGCATAGAACTTGAAGCTCAAGTCCAAGTGAGCGAAGCGATCTTCGTTGGTTATTCCGTAGTTGTGGATCAATGAGTCCTTCCGTGTGATCGGGACAACCATGGCCTTGATCTTGAAGTTCTTCTCCACTTCGATTTTGATAGCGTTCGTGTCGCGGTGCCTTGTGAATGAGATGCGTGGGGTGGTCTTGGAGTGCCACAAGGCACCCTCGTGTTGAGGGAGGGTGATGGGGGCGCCGTTGAGGTAGAGGGAGAGCCGGTCGATGGCATCGTCCCAAGATGAGGTCTTGAGGGCGCCGATGAAGAGGTTGTGGGAGCCAAAGAGGATACCAAGGGACTGGACCCAGGTGAAGTCGCGGTGCATGTTGGCATTGCGGCGGCCAATGAAGTGCGCATTGATGTGGAGGTTAGTGTCGGAGACGAGGCAGAAGTCACGATTCTTCTTGCCATGGAAGTAGAAGGTGATGCCATCGCCGCCGATGAAGCGTGGGTCTTGGCACACCGCGCCGGGATTGTCGCAGCCTGCTCACAATTGGCAATAGAAATTTTTAGCATCCTTGGAAAGACTAGTCATAGTAATTCCGAATTGAGATCCTCTGATTATAGAAACATAATTACTTGGGTCGATGTCAGGAACAGCATACATGACCGGAAAGAGATTTCCACTATCGAAACTATTTGTAGTAATAAAAAGGGATAAATGTACTAGAAGTCCTAAAACTTATCAAGAAAGTGCAATTGAGTCCTAAAACTTTCAAAAAATGCGATCAAGTCCTAAAACTTGTCACGAAAGTGCAATCAAGTCCTAAAACTTTCAAAAAGTGCAATCAATGGAAGGACTTAATTGAACTAATGTAACAAATTTTAGAACTTGTTTGCATTTTCGTGACAAGTTTTAGGACTTGTTTGCAATTTTTGAAAGTTTTATGACTCAATTGCACTTTCTTAACAAGTTTTAGGACTTAATTGCACATTATGAAATTTTTAGGACTCAATTACACTTTCTTGACAAGTTTTAGAACTTTGAATGCACTTATCCCTAATAAAAATAACTTTCATCGAAACATAACTTTCTTCCAATTGCGTGTGCCATGATCTGATCAGGTGATGAATACGTATCCAGAGTGACTAATCAAAGTTCCAAGAGGGTCAATTTGCATGTTCCTAATCTAATCAATTCGAACAATCATCCTGTCCCATTTTCAGGACAATTCTTAAGACCCCTTATGTATTCCTGTTTGGTACAATTTAACGCTTCACTAAGATATTCAGAGTCAGATAAGATTTACGTTCATGCAAGTCTATGTACAGTGAGGGAAGAGAACATTATATTATTTAAAAGCAAGCTTAGAACAAACAAAAGTTAGAAAAATGTGAATGAGAAAAGGGGATATAGTGAGGACTTACTGCAAACTGTCTTGCAAGTCACACAATCAACCTCACAGGTAGATGCGCAAGCACTGGGGCAGCTTTGCTCCAATCCATAGCAATGAGGATAATTCCTATTCTTGCACCTCACTCTCTTCCCTCCCGATACTTCGCTCGATGGAGGTGGAGGAGGATACTGCGTAGGAGGAGGTGTGGTGGTCGGAGGGGCATTAGGTGGGGTGGAACCGCTGCTTGGAGGAGGCATGTGGGTCGGTGGGGCATTTGGCGGCATGGATCCACCGCCTGGAGGCGTGGCGGTTGGCGGGGAATTTGGAGGGGGAGGGACGAGGACCGGAGTAGATGGAGGCGGCGGCTGGTGTGTCGGGGTGCCACTGCCATTGTTGCCATTGTTGTTATTGTTATCGTTGCTGTTGCCATTGCTATTGTTGTTGTTGTTGTTGTTGTTGTTGTTATCGTTGTTGTTGCCGTTGTTGTTATCGTTGTTGTTGCCGTTGTTGTTGCCATTGTTATCGTTGTTGTTGACGTTGTTGTTGCCGTTATTGTTGTTGTTATTGACGTTGTTGTTGCCGTTGTTGCTGCCATTGTCGCTGTTGTTGCTCCCGGTGCAAACAGGTCGGCAGGAAGCACAATCCACCTCACAAGTCCTGAGGCAACCAGCGGGACAATACTGCTTCACATGGTAACAAGGGGAGGTCTTGTCTTGGCACTTCACTAGCTTGGCCCCCGGATCCGCTTCAGCCATCACCAGAGCTAGCAAGAATACCAGCAAGGACATGCCCAAGCTCGCCATTGCCTTAGCCGCCATATCTGGGTTCCAAGACAGCTAACAAGCCTACGACTCTTCGTCGATTTCTTCTTTGGGATGGAATATGGTCCTTAATGGCGTCGCGCTGCTCTTTACATAGAGATGATAAAGGTGAAAGAGGTTAGCTTCTTCTGAAGCTACTTAACCTCAAATCTAGTAGAAGTCTGCAGGCCATGCCTCTCTTTGCAAGGGAGCTCAGGTTCCTTTACTAAGGGGGTCCTACAAAGGGCATTCAACCCAACAAAGAGGAAGACGGTATATTCAAAGGGAAGTCAAAATCAACCCCAAAACAACGGTTTTTTGTACCTTTTCTAATTTCGCCATTTCTATTTCATGTTATATGAGGAGAGATTATTCTATTGATCCTAAACCTATCGTACGGATACCAATTCAATTTCGAATTCTCTAATTCTGCCAATTTAGTCATTAACATTTGCATGAAATTCCATGTAATTCTTCCGTCATCAAATCACCGATGGCCCTCGACGACTGGATCGTCACGTCAGCGATTTTTGACGAAAATTGACCAGAAGGACAACATTAAAATTTCACGTAAAGCTTGAGGACTAAATTGGCAAAATTGAAATGTTTAGGACTAAATTGGCATCCATATAATAAGTTCATTAATATTACGAAAAAATCGAAAAACTAGTACACATGTAACAAATTTACTCCAAATAAATTTTTTGATTACCAAAAACCTTAAACCGGTACACGTGACAAATTTACCATCCGTTAAATGTTATTATCAAATTGCCTAGTTGTATGACACGTGGCAATTAACAAGTGTACCCAGCTTAGGGTTTTATCCCTCTGTTTATCATAGATTTACCAGTTTATGATTTTTCGTGGTATTAATGCAATTTAATGGAGGGTATATTTATCACAAGTGTACTAGTTTGGGGGTTTTTAGTGGTCAAAAAATTAGTTTAGACTAAATTTGCCATAAATGTACCGGTTTGGGGTCTTTGATGGTCAAAAAATTATTTTAAGATAAATTTATCACAAGTGTACTAGTTTAGAATTTTCCGTGGTATTAGACATGATGAGACTATTTAGTTTAGGACTAGCCTACCAATGCTCGAATTTGTCTTTGCATAGGAGAGAATTCGAGAACCAAACTTCACACTCAACTCAAAAAGCGAAATTGAATGATATGAGGAACTTTCTTATAGTCCCGAACATTAGCATGAGATATGAACTCTATCGGAGAAACTTTATTGGAGAAACTTGTTATTCAGCCTGCGCAAAGATGGCATAGTTTCGAAGGGTAGAATTACCAGAAAAGTCCTAAACATAATGCAATTATGCCAATTCAGTCCTAAACTTTTTTTTTTTTGCTAATTCAGTCCTAAACCTTTTGCATTTGTGTCAGTTCAGTCAATCCGGACAATTCTGGCTGGCTGGCCAGCGCTGACGGACTTTTTTAAATAATATTTTGAATTTTTTATATTCTTTTCTTTTCTTTTCTTTAGTTTTTTTTTCCTTGCACTTAGAGCCGACGAGGGTTGCTGGGCTTGGGAAAGGGCGCCGCGGCCTCTCCGAGCTAGATCTGGCGAGGGCATTACGGCCTCTCCTAGTGTCGTGGGTGTCTCAACCCTCGCCAGCGCTAAGTGGAGGGGAAAAAATTAAAGAAAAGAAAAAAAAATATTAAAGTTTTATTTAAAAAGTCTACGTCAGTGCCGGTTGACCAAAATTAGCCGGATGGATTGAATTGACACAAATACAAAACGTTGAGGGCTGAATTGACAAAAAAAAAAGGTTTATGACTGAATTTGTACAATCGCAAAAAATTTAGGATCATTTTTGTAATTTTCTCAGTTCCGGAGTATGCAATAGGCTCTCGGGTTCGGTCGATTAGGGAGCACAACGTGAGCCAAAACTTGGCTTCGTGGTGTTCTCGCGTTCGAGGTCGTGGGGAATCAAATCCGTATCATGTGGCGTCAAATTCGCGCGCGCGGGTCATTTAGTAATAAGAATCATGATCTATTTTTTATTATTATTATAAAATCTCTGGCAAAATGATGACCATCTAGTTATCTTATAATTGAGATAAAGTGGGAGCATTTTCCCATCCCGACGATTCTTATCACTCGACTGCCATCCAATGAAGGTTTCTCCTTTGCAGAAAACGAACTGATTGCCATGCAATCAATCAAAATGGTGCATTGATCTGTGCTCAATTCAAAGGATCAAGCAATAGCACTGAGTAAGCATTACTGCTCGATGAATCGCCTTTTCGTACAAAACCAAAAACCATATTCTAAAAATTGCATGTCACCGCCCAACCGCGTAGGCGTGGGTCTTAAAATATGAAAAAAAAAATTAGAATATCAATTCTATAAATAATGTGATAGATGAAACCGATCGCAGTGAGATTACCGTATATGAAAAGTTATGATTTGGAGACTTGCGAAGAAGGCACTCGCATGTGCAAGCAACACCGGAAAATAGCCCGTTGAGGAAATTGAAACGACGAGCTTGACTTATTTTAGGAAATAGTTTAAATTACCGCCCGTGAATCGACGAAATATGGGGATATTTAGGTTCTTCATTTCAAATTAGTATTTTATTAATGATCCGGTTATGTACGATTTATAATTGCGTCTTACAACGAGTATGAGCGGCATTCGAATATTCGAGTATACGTTGGAGGTTGAAAATTACTTCAAATTTTCTTTATGACATAGAGATATTTGAGTGGAGTAGAAGAATAAAAATTCCCCCCATTACAAAGAAATTAAACATGTGAAATCAACATTATATAATTTCACAGCATGAGCTGTAGCTTAACCAGTATCTTAAAATGCACTTTCTAATTTTTTTTGTATTAAAAAAGGCTAAAGTCGAATACAAATTTTTAATGTCGTCAATTTACTATTTTTTTTATCACCTAATAAACATGAAGTAACTCTCTAGGAGGCAGAGAAAAGAACCTATTGTCCAAGTGCTTATGGATTCCCAACTTAGCAAGCCAATCGCAAGATAGTTTCCTTCCCGAAAATTATCTTGCGCTTTGAACTTAAAGTGAGAACTCAACAGACTTTTAATATCTTTAAGCAAAGCAGAGTCTACATTATCAACCATAACCTCTGAACTAACAAGATCGGTGATGGCTTTAACATCAATTTCCATGATGATCTCATGCAACCCATATTGTTTTGTGAAAGTCCCAACCACAATGCCGAAAGTTCTGCTTGTGTCGACATACATATTCCTTCCGATGTGGCAAAATCATCAAGCCAATCACCCCTTTCGTTTCTGAATTTTTAATTTCACAACAGAAATCATGTCGACACGAGGGATTTTTTTTTTCTCTCGCTTAAAAGGCTAAGAAATGTACAAATGGGCTTGTGAGTTTAGCCAATTGTCCAATTTCAACACTTTGTTTAGGGTTTAGGCCTGGACTAACTGGATGGTCCTAGCCCGAAAACTTTGGACCCATCTAGGGCTTTTAACAATTACCATGACCCCACTTTGCGCATATAATACACCACGATGGATCTCTGACGAACTTGAGAGTTGACTCAGACTTGCACTTAGAAGAAAGTCAACACAAGGGAAGAGAGCTGAAATGAAAACCAATTGAAATTTCCACAACTTGTGAAAATTGAAGGGATGGAATAGGAATGCTTAAACAGACCATCCATCCTTTCAAAGTCCTTTATTTACTAATGCTAACTTTCTTTTCTTTTTGTTGCGGTCATGTGATATCCTGAATCAACTTTCACGCACCGGATTAAGTCTGCCTTTCCGGTCCGGTCAAAGACAGATCATCCATGTATAATCCCAATGTGAGGGTTAATTTCAGCACATCAAGCTCTTTGAAAAATGCAAGCGGGTCGAAACTTTTTAAAAGAGCAAAAGCTGAGTGCAATCATATTCCACCATTCAAGTGCCACAGTATCTGCACAAGGATTTTCCTGGAGTTTATGACAATAGCATTAGCAAGTCCCAAGTTTCGTTGAACAGCCACTCTTTTTATTGCAACCTAAGGTCTTGTTAATCTTCTCGTCAAGACACGACGAGCAACTATGTATCTAAATGGCTATCGGATCATCAAACTCCAGGGTCGGCATCAGCCATGAAAAAGAGAGCCCTGCCCTCATGGTGAACTCGAGCACTCCATCACCTGTAGAAATGCTTCCTTTCACTAGTTTTTTCTGCATTATAGAACTGCGGCTGCAAATCTGCGATTATCAGTGTCGTTGTAATGATGCCTGGGAGTGTGGTGCAACTATTATAGTTTTCGTCGAGCTCTTCTCACAGACAATTCCTCCGTTGAGCGACACACTTAAAAGCTTCTTCTTTTTTCGGTTATTCAAGTCGTCTGAAGTACCAACATCAGCAGCATTATTTGTAAATCCGGTTTGCTTTATCTTAGATTTCTGTCCTATGACTTTCATAATCATCTCTGAGTTCGTCCAACCTCGAAAAGAAGCTTTGTTACAAAAGACTTCTCACTTGCCGGGACACATCTACTGAATAACAAATCCTAGTGGAAGTGATAACTGAGTACAGCGAAAACCGTCTGTGTCATGGTGAGAACTATGACCAAGAAAGCAGAGAAGACCGATATGACTGACCACGGACTGGAAAAGTAAGTGCGCATCATGTTCGCCCAGTTGCTGTAGAAGTATGATTCCAGTTCCTCAAAACTGCTTGGACAGATAACAGTCATGAACATTGAAAACTGTTGAAGCAAACGCGGAAAAGCAAACACAGAACACGAGGATTTACGTGATTCGATCACAACGTGATCTACGTCCACGGGCAAGGCAAGACAAAATTCCACTATAATCAAAGAGAGTACAGTTTTCAGAAGTCGAAACAACGACAAAAGCTCACGGCTCACAAAACTCTCCGAAAACAAAATTCTCTCTGTATATCAATGAGAAAACCTAGCCTATCGGCCCAACTCTCCGCGTTGCGAACTAAATCTCAATTTTCGGGTCGCACAAAAATATGTCGGGTCGGGTGTTGAACCGGACCGAAAACATAATTCAAGACATATTTAACAAAAACGATACTGTTCCCAAGCTTATTGAACAAATTAGCAACATACTGGTCATCATGAGAAAATCTTGTGATGATCCCATCAGAACAGAGGAGCGACACGTCTTTCGGCTGATTGATGAGGCAGTGCATGAATGAGACGTAATCGGTGATGTACTTGGAGCTGTTTTCCTGGCATTGTTCCAGGGCGACGCAGTTTATCAGCACGGTGGTCATGAAGTCCTTGATGGTGATGGATGGCATCTCGAGCACCCGTTTCCGGAAACTTATGTCCAGGAAGTTTTCTGTCTCCCTGGACTTGAATTTGATTCCAGAGGGCTTAAGGCAGGTTACACACGGTACGGACTGATACGACGGCCGGTACTTCTGTGGATAGTTGCGGGGGAAAGAGAGTCAAGTAAAACAGGTCAAGTAAATGCTTGCATTGCAGATTCCCTTGATATTCGAGAAGCGCCACGGATCTCGGATAGGCCAGATTGAACGCTCTCAAAGCGAGTGTGCACAAATAGTCTGTTTTCGCCTCGACCCTTGTTGAGCTCGAGAAGTCAAACAATGACTTGAGAAGGAAGTACGGAACCTGGTTTTCAAGCTTCAGCAAGTCCCTGATGAGAATCGGGATTATCCAAGGCCGTGTAAAGATGGGGTCATCTTCGTCAATAGCGCCATCGCTCCTGAAAATGTGGATTAGGAGTTCCAGCACAAAGCAACCATCGAGTAGCATCATCTCCACGAAGTCGCCACTCGACATAAGCACAGGTTCCGAGTAGCAACTTCGGGCAGAATTTTCCTCTTCTGCCAACAATTCAATGAGACTCGCCTCGTTCCAGGATGTGCGGTGAAGGAACCTCCTGAGGAAGAACCACTTGGGCTCTTCAAACTCAAGCAAATGGTCCCGGCCCCTGTGATACGGGCCAATAGATACGATCTCTGGCTGTTCAGCCTTCGGATTGATCCCACAAAGAGTCGGGGAGATCCTAAAGATGGCGCAAGACGAGGTCCCGGCTCGGAAGCGTCTTTCCCTTTCCCCTGGTTGGCGCCTAACACGGGCCAAGCAGTAAGTAACTGTGTCATTATGCGATCCTGCAGCAGCATCACCTGGGCCAGCCTCATCATAGTTCCTCGGGGTGAAGTTAGTCCATTAGGCATAAACGGTTCCCGCTTCGTCATCGACTCGAACCGACCCTCTCCGATGGACCCAGCAACGGATCCGGCTGGGTCGTTTTCAAAAGCTTCATCTTGCAGCTCGTCAATCACGATTGCTCGATGATCCATGACTCTCTCTCTCTCACTCTCTCCCTGAGATGAATGAAAGCATACAATGTGCTCCGAAGCTGAATGAGAATTTTCCAAGAAATTTAAATCGCTAGCATGACGCGTTCTGCTGATTTCCGAGAAACTGTCCATTGTTTGACCCGCCACGACCCATCAACACATGAGACTAAAGCAAGTCTTAAATGCTGCAAATGTTTTGTCGGAGGATCTTGACCGCCTTTCCTTAATCTAATGACGATGCAGCCGAAACGGAAGACTTCAGGATCAACCGAGGAAGACGGGACAGAAGCTTCTCATGGCAAAAATTGTCAACGACTGAATTGGCCCTTGAAATTGATGCTCGTTCGAGGGAGAAAGGTTGCCCATTGAACCCAGGTCAACGTCTGACAACAGTTGTTATTGACCAAATCATTCTTGAACAAAAATGGATTTGGCTTCGGGGTTTTTTCGTTTCTCTTCGTTTGACCTCAATGATCTGGCCATGTACCATGCCAAATCGATCCAAAAAGGTCAACAAATCTGTAAGTTGAAATCCCAATTCACCGAAAGTAATGATAATTTATCAAACACGTTAATTATTTCACATAAACAAATGCACTTTCTGAACATGTTGTCAAATTAAGAGTACATCCTCCTATGTTGCCCACGAAAGGGAAAATAACACTAAAAATCCATAAATTTTGCCTCAATGTACAATGTCATTGTTGGATTTTTAATATGTTTAATGTGGTTCTTGAAGTATTTCTGAATGTTCAATATAATCCCTCAACTTTCAATTTATTCAATCTAGTCCGCTAACTTTCCATAACAAAGTATTCTGTATTATTCACAAATTTGCATAATTACACTATTGCTCAGATTTAAAATATTTTTTTCATTTCAACCCATTTCCTAAATTAACAAAAAAATATGCTATCTTTTTATTTCATTTTTATGTTTTTGGTCTTTAGAAATATTACAATAATTCCATTTAAGTACATTTTAGCTAATGATCTCTATAATAGTAAAAGTAGAATCTCATTTAGAATTATGACGGGTGATATTTCTTTTTATTTTAACAATAAATGTTTTCAAGAGGATATCAAAAAACGATAACTTATATTAATCAAACCCTGTTCCTAACTATTGAGATAGATATAATTTTTAACCCTTTGTGTTTGGTGTTTTCTTAATTGAATTTAGTTACATTTGTAAAAATGAGGAAATTAAAATAGTAGGAATATTAACCCGATACAAACTCTAGATGATGTTCTACTTTTATTATAATAGAGATCATTAGCTAAGACATACTTAAAACGGAACTATCATGACATTACGGGACCAAAAAGTTGCAAAAGGTAATAAAAAAAGTCAGCATGTTTTTTTTAGTTGATTTGAAAAATGGATTGAAATGAAATGATATTCAAAAATTCATGCAATAAATGTACTTATGAAAACTTGTGAATGGCGACGAAGAACTAGATTGAACAAATTAAAAATTTGGAGATTGGATTGAACATGATGAAATAATTTAAGGACCATACCAAATGAATAAAAAAATTCGAAGAATGATATTAAATATTGAGCTGAATTTTAAGGATTATTTATTCTTATGGAAGGTCTTACGTGGGCATAGCCGTCATTTCGCGTCTACCACCCGTTGCCACCTTATCCTCAACCTTCGCTTTACACGCGGATACCTGCAACAGAGTCCCATGGCCGCGACCGTACACAACCCGCGCTTCTCCAACCTCACCGCCCTCAGCTCTACCAAACCCGCCCACAGCCACGCCGCGGCTCGCGCCGGAGCGCTCCGCCGGCTCGGCCCCAGCTCGGGGGTCAGGTGCTACCAGGGCCAGGCGAGCGAGCTGGGGAGCCAGAGCCAGAGCCAGAGCCAGCGGGTCACGCTGAAGAACGGCGGCGACTCGCTCGACATATGCAGGGTCCTCAACGGCATGTGGCAGACCGGCGGCGGGTGGGGCCGGATCGACCGGGACGACGCCGCCGACGCCATGTTCCGCCACGCCGACGCCGGGCTCTCCACCTTCGACATGGCCGATCACTGTATGTGACAATGCCTCTTCCACAAACAAAAGATTTCCCCGGAAACTTGTTTTTGCTCGAAAAACGCTGCGTTTTCCTCAGGGTTTAATGCTGACGTGTGGAGTCACGTCATTCTTGTCCTTTGCTGAAATGGAAAAGAGCTCCCTCGTTTATGCACATTTTTATTTATGCCGAGTCCCTGTGCTTTAAGAATTCCAACTGCAAGTCTGCAATGCTACTTTAAACTGGGACCCGGATAAGAAAGATTTAGACTTTGGGGTCTGAAATGCTTAAAAGAGAAAAGTTGAAGGACTATCTAGCGAATAAAGGTGAATTCTAACTGAACTAACGGTTGGGAGAAGAGCAGTGGAAGCTGATAGGATAAAACATAAGACCCGCCACACTTTGTTTAGGAGACATTACATGGAAGTCATCAGTTTCTGATTTTGAAAGTCTCAATCTTGTCGTTGCATTTTGTTGGGAAGCCATTCCATTTGTAAATGGCAGAGTTGTTGCAGCACCCATGTAGCAAATTCATCTTCAGTTCCATCAAAACCGAGTGGAAAGCCAAAAGAGAAACCAGGGCGAGATGTTGTTGCCCAAGATCGAGAACCTCTATGTGTGTGCAAACTGAGGATAAGCATCGAACCGTGGTTAGAAAAGGGAATGATTCGATAGATATTTGCCGGGTCGTCAACGGGATGTGGCAGACGAGTGGTGGATGGGGTAGCATGGACAGAGATAATGCAGTCGATGCCATGCTTCGATATGCTGATGCCGGACTTAACACCTTTGACATGGCTGATATATGTAAAACCCGTTGCCTTTTCTTTTATAGGGCGCTAATTGTAACAGTTCTGGTGTGAGTTGATATAGCCTTCTCCATGTTTCCAGAAGGTTAGGAAGATATGTACTTTTATCATATCAGGTAGTTGGTCTTATTGGATTTAAGACAGAACTGAGCGAATATATATCTTAATTTGTATCGTGCTTGAAGAAGTGCATTTTAGCGTATTGTGTCGTCAGCTTCCGCCCGTCAATTGGAGTCCATAGAACTTTTATAGTTTGATATCTTTCTTGTTTCAGATGGACCTGCTGAAGATTTGTATGGCATCTTCATCAATCGAGTTCGAAGGGAACGTCCACCAGAATTCTTGGAGAAGATCAGAGGGTAAGTAATGAGTATTGACCAAATAAACATGCCAAGTATATGTCACAAGTGATGGATTTCATTCTGTTTAAGTTCCTCAGTTCAATGTTGGAAATGTCGAAATCCTTGGCATGAAATTATTTTCTCATCATGATTACCACTTTACCAATTTGTGCAGGCTCACTAAATGGGTGCCGCCTCCGGTTAAGATGACCAGTGGTTTTGTTAGGGAGGCTATCAATGTTTCAAGGAAGAGAATGGATGTAGCTTCGTTGGACATGCTTCAGTTTCATTGGTAATAATTTTCTTCTGACTTAGTCGCTATTTGTGGTAATGACTTCATCTATGCTGAACTGGATACTGGAAGAATTTTTTACAAGCATTCAGATGGCACTACTTGTGAAAGATAAAAAACTATCCCCAAGGTCAAAAGCTAGTACTGCAATGAGGCGCATCTCATTGTACAGAAATGTACTTCAAGCTGCATGCTAATTAAAAACTTTGTTTCCTCCCACAAAAGCTTTTCTGTTATCCTATTTCATAGAAGATCGACTGCTTCCTCATTGGTTCTAACTACTGGACTGTTAAAATGTATCAATCTCTTTTAGGTAAATCTCACTCTGTTGTGGGTTCTGGTGACACGTTGATCTTCACTTTAAGATGATTGACCTATTTGACTCTTGACATTTGTCCATTCTATTAAGAATATCTGCTGTAAGCGACCTTCCACAGATCCTCATGTTGAATCTATTCTTCGAATAAAAGAAATGCCTTTGCTAGATCATCTCATTTAATTATCGGTTGCCTCTTTGTTCTATTTATTTATAGCGGTAACCAGTATCTTCCCATTCCCAGTGCATCTTATATCCTCTGATGGGGTTGACTTCTCTAAAGAGTACCTGAAGATTACAAATTTAACAAGGGCGTAATTCTGTCTCTCACTTGAAACAGGTGGGAATATTCCAATCCTGGTTACCTTGATGCATTAAAGCACCTGACGGATCTGAAAGAAGAAGGTTACTCTATGTCCATTACTTGGTTCAATAATAGAGTAAAAGCATATAATCATTGATAGCAATTGATTTGCAGGTAAGATAAAGACTGTTGCCTTGACTAATTTTGATACAGAGAGATTACAAATTATTCTTGACCATGAAATTCCGGTTGTTAGCAATCAGGTACAGACATTCAAAAGAAATGTCACTCTTAATTATCCTTTGTCAGATTTATTTTGTTTTGATGAAGTAATATTTTCAAGTCAGGTACAACATTCAATCATCGACATGCGCCCTCAACAGAAGATGGCAGAGCTTTGTCAACTCACAGGGGTGAAACTTATAACGTCTCTCTCTCTCTCTCTCTCTCTCTCTCTCTCTCTCTCTCTCTCTGTGGTTGGGTGGGTGGGTGCATTGCGCTTGGGGTGCATCAACTTCCTTTTTTGGTGACTCCATGTGATTGATCATTCACAGATACGGCACAGTAATGGGTGGTCTCTTATCCGAGAAGTTCCTTGACACCAACTTGGCAATCCCTTTTGCGGGTCCTCCATTAAACACTCCTTCCCTGCAGAAGTACAAAAGGGCATGTACCTCTTAATATTAAATTTCTGGAGTTTCAACTAAATTTTCTTTCCATGTCTTCTGTTAGAACATGATGTTTGGGAAATAGAGTTTGCATTAATATTCAGTTGACCTACTCGAAAAAGAAATAATGATAAGGGATCGATCTGGTTTGATATTAAACCAAGTCTAGTTTTGACATTGACATGGATTGGCAGATGGTTGATGCATGGGGAGGGTGGAGTCAATTCCAAGCTGTGCTTCAGACACTGAAGAAAGTAGCTTCTAAACATGGGGTCAAAATTCCCACTGTAGCTGTGAAATACATACTGGATCAAGTAATCTTCGGAGTTTCCTGCTAACTTCGTTTCCAGCATCCCGTAATTACCGTGGCTTTACTGCATCTTTTGATCATATTTCTGTTCTCTGTGAATTGCAGCCTGCGGTAGCAGGATCCATGGTAGGTGTTAGACTCGGTCTTTCGGAACATATTAAGGATTCGAACGATATATTTTCCCTTGTTCTCGACGAGGAGGATGTAGCCAGCATACAGGAAGTTTCCAAAAGAGGCAGAGATCTCCTTAAAGTGATAGGTGACTGTGGAGATGAGTACAGGCGTGCGTGAAGACTCTTGTTTGCAGGTTGCACAGCGTTTGAAGGATATTGAGCTCCTAGTGTATTTTGTTATAGTTTGTAAATCCACCACAAATGATGCTGCTCGTCATGTAACGCACATTTATCAGCAAATTTTGTATCTCCCATAAACTACTCTATAAAGCTTTTCTCTATTGTTGACTCAATGCGGATTACTTTTAACCATTACTTACCGTATACAGGCATTCTTAACTGACTTTCTGTCCAAATCATGCTTTGTATTGAACTTTTGAATTTAGCCCATAACACTCTTGTGCATTGCTGCATTTAGAACCGTAAGTGATGAACTTTGCCTTAAAATTGGTAGAGAATTGGAGAATGATGGCAAAGTGTGGCCTCATATTGCTCTCTTTGATGGGTGCTGCTTGCTTTCTTGCTGTCCACCTGAAACTACGTATGGTTGCAGCCCCTGAATTTTATGGTGGGGCAATGGAGAACTATGGTTTGATCATATACCGGGAAGACAAGATGCTCCATGATGAATTGCAATCCACAGCTGCTAAGAAGCAACGTGCAAAGAATTTTCTCCGCCGACCTGATTACTGTTGATTACTCTGTATCCTGCTCGTGAACGATATAAAATATAGAAGTGATGCACAACCTCTTTCTCTATACCTGAAATTATGTTACCCTCTCCTCCTTCTAGTCTGACAATTTGGGTAAACATGCGTAATAAATCCATTAACTGTTGGATCAGATGACGGTGCAATGCATGAAGTTGCTCATCAGTGGTTTGGCAATCCGGTTAGAATGGAATGGTGGGCACATCTATGGTTGAATGGTGGACACATCTATGTTAAGGCAAGTTTTAGTAGATTGCTGTACTAGGAGATATTCAGCAATATTGACTGACTCTTTCTGCGTCTCGAAGACAGAAATCGTTGAGTTCATACATGAAAAGATATGCATGGAAAATTGCAAAGACTGAAGACTTATGGAGTGTTCTGACAGAGGAATCTGGTGTTGAAGTAACTAATCTGATGGACACATGGACAAAGCAAAAAGGATACCCGCTCATGTCCGTGAACCTAAACGGCCATATATCAGAGTTTGAACAGGTGTTATTGTAATGTTTATAAGCTTGAAGCAAGTTTGACATGCTTTGCCTGGCATTCATAGTAGAAGCTTTTAAATTTTTGGCGCTTCTGTCAAGTGAAATCTGGAATTTTGCTTATCACTGCAGTCACAGTTTTTACTATCTGGATTGGCTGGTTTGGGGCTATGGATTGTTCCGATAACCTTGGCCCTTGGTCCATATGAGAGACGGAAAAAGTTCCTTTTGGAAACACGATGCAGAGAAATTGACATATCTGACCTTTTCGATTCTTCTAGCATCAGTTTAGGCTTACCGGAGGAGAAGGATCCGGAAAAATTTAAAGAGCACTTTTGGATCAAGATTAATATTTATCAGAGTGGTTTTATAGGGTAAAATATGAGGACAAGCTTGCAGCTCAGCTTATCAAGGCAATAGAAAGCAATTACCTCTCCGCAACAGATAAATTTGGTGGGTGCATCCTGCCAAGTTTGATGCGATTGCGTGCTAGTTTAAACTTATCGAGTAGTTGTTTATTTATGCGTTGAGACTAACAAGAAAGGGCACAGGAAGTTGTAGAGCAAGGATGAAATTCCCTGGACAGGTCCTGCGAACGGAAAGCATAGAAACTATGAACGTACTTTTCTCTATGTAAATTGTCGATTCAGCTGTATGACTCTGTAGTTTCCAAGGAAAGAAAGTTCATAAAGAACTATCTTCACTTTTAGCAAGACCTTAGTATATCTCTTATTCTATTCTGGCCATAGGGCATCTTGTTAATTGTCTTACTTAGAACAAGTGCAAGTTCATCCTCTAGCATTTCAGGTATTATAATGCAGTATAGCCAGTGAGCGTCTTTATCAGTTATTTCGTTATTGTGAACGTCAGCAAGTGTCAAAGATCTAATTACTGTATTGAGTAACTCCTTTTTAGGGATCTTGGATGATACTCATGCCCTTTGCCAGGCTCGCAAACAGTCACAGTCTTCTCTGCTCACCTTGATGGATGTATATAGAAAAGACACAGACTATACAGTGGTATCAAATTTAATAGATGCAAGTGGTTCTGCAACAACGTAGTCCTTTACCTTATATGCCATCTACATCTTAGAAAGTTGATCGCCAGTAAATTGCGCTACGGGTCTGCTACAATATCGTGAAAATATACTGCGATGCTTTTCCAGATTCAGTGGATAACTTAGGACGACATTTTATCCACCTGCCCTCTGCTGAGTAAGATGAAGTTCTTTCATCTTAATTCACGGTGATGAATTGATTTGATAGCTGTATGAAAACTAAGTTCCCTTGCAACAATTTAGAGAATGGTTGCAGTTCCTTGCTCATGTGGTTGAAATAGAGTGAAAACAAGCTTCCTTGTTCTCCATTTTTGTTCCCTTTTGGAATGTGATTGTGCAATACATATGCGCGAAACACTTGTGTTTTGGTACCTCTTACTCTTCTGTTGCAAAGAATGTGAACACTGACATAACGGTTAGCTATTTTTGTGAAATTAAACTTGTGTTGCTAATAGCTTTAAGTCATCCTTTTTCTGTTCTTTCTCGCAGAAGATTAGGCTGGGAATCGGTATCTGGAGAACCTCAACTAAATGTGCTCTCGAGGGATGAAATCTTTATGGCTTTGGCTTCATTTGTTGATGAGAAAACTCATGAAGATGCAATCGAATGGTTTGAGCCGTCGTCAATGGGTAAGAACACCGGCGGACAAAGGGGCCAGCCATAGGTTCGCAATTTTCTTCAATACTAAGTACTAATCAATATTACAAAAGAATGTGCTCTAATTTGTTTTGCAAAACTCAGGCGAGGCTGGCCGGCGGCCATTTTGGCTTGCCAGCGGCTGAATTCCACCGACAAAGGTTTGAGAATTTCTTTTAGAAATAAAAAAAAAAAAAACTACCATAAGTCCGTTATAAAGTATAGTTATAAGTTACTTCTCAAAGTGTTAAATTACACTTTACCAAACACTATTTGTAATTTGAAAAAACGCTTTTACCTAAAGTCAAATGCATTTTCTTAAAAATTTTCTCCTAAAGTGTTTTCAAACGCATCCGAAGTAATGAGCTCAATTTAATGGTGGATAGAAGCGAAAGAATGTTTAAATGACGATTGATCGATCGATCGCGAATGTGTGCATGTGTGTTGGCCACAGCTTTGGGGATCAGAATTTTGACTGTGGTCTCGTTTTTTGATCGACTTCTTCCATCGTCCCCCGTCACGTGATACGATACGTCTCGAAATAAGACAGGACACAAGAGTCTCGCGCATGTTCCGTGTCCGCCCCCCATTTGGACCTCTCTCCCATCGGAGAACGAAGGTACCTGCCGACACCTTTCGCGCTCTTCTCTGTTTGATCTTTGCCATAGCGAAGTGGTACTCTCTCTCTCTCTCTCTCTCTCTCTCTCTCTCTCTCTTTCGTGCCCGCGTACAGCTTGACAATGCGTTCCATTTGAACTAGTTTGGCGTTTGCTGATCTTTCGAACATCCCCTGTCTAGTGTAGTGAGTGTGGCGGCATCATATCTTTCGGTTCTGAAGAGATTATCGCCCTCCCTGCGTTCTTTTCTGTTTGCTGCCATCTTGGCAGATGCTAAAACTTCGGGCCCGCGAAACCCAAGGCCACTTTGAGGTTATGCACGCGCCCGCCCTGTTTGATGAAATGCCTGAGACATCTGGGCCGCTGGAAAAGTTTGGTTCTTGATGCTTTCTGACATCGCGTTTCCCCTTGTTTTGATCGGATATGCAATTGCAACGGCGTGGTTGCTTCCGGCTTTTGTTATTTTCAATTAAGCAGATAAACCCGTCATACGCGTTGTCCCTGAATTTTTGTTTGGTGCAGGTTTATATTCTTCTTTGTATTCTTTCCTTGAGTGAATACGAGTTTGCTGAAGTTGGACCACAGAGCAACTAGCCATGGATGGTACGTACAAGATTTTAATTTCTTTAGTTACAAAGGTCGACTCTAATTGGCATCAAACTTTGTCCTCTCATGTACTATTGATGTATAGTGCTGGTAATGAGAAGGTGGATAGCTATGGAGAGCTTCTGCAATGCGTTGGAACAGAGGAGCTTTCCTCCTCCGCCTTTGGGTGTCGATTAGAAGTTCTGGCGCAATTGCTTTCGAGTGCGTGACAACGTTTGTGTTTGTTTTGTCTTGCATGGGTTTCAGTTGATTCAAAGCCTATGATGGAGGAGACAATATTAGTCGGTGATGACTTGATGATGGGACCTCCTTCACCCCTTATCCCACCAGAAATTGCCTCTCACGTGCTTGAAGGTGTTGAATTGTGTGATGGCATTCTGAGAAATCTGTTTCTATGTAAGTCTACTCTGGATAAATTTTGCTTTGAATGAATCAGGCACGCGAATTCTTTAAATTTAGAAGTTCAAGACACAGTGACAAATTTTAAGTGATGGCCATGAATGCGTATTCTCTGTGGAAACAACCAAGCTTCTCATCGAATTGATCATTGGAATGCTGCATATCCAAGGGCTTCCTGGTTAACCATCTGAAATAGGATACAAGAAGCAGAAAGTCCTTGTGGTTTTTATTTTTTTAATGCTGAAAGTGAGCAAGGCACTTGCATACCTTCCATTGTCTCTTACCTTCTTTATATGGATCATTTTCCGGCAAAAATATTGCAGTTTTAGGAGGAACAAATGATCCTGAAACCACACAACAAAGTTTTGCTAGAATATTTGAGCCTTGAAATTGATTTTCCTACCTTTGCAAAATGACCTTTCTGGTAAACAAATTTCCTCTGTATCCTGCAGGCTTGCAATTAAATGATATTGAGCCATTTTGCCAAGATGAGATTGCTTTGTATCGAGAATGCGCAGACAAGAGGGTGAGATTAACACTATTCCTTTGGATTTACTTTTCCTCTGTCTTTTTGCTATACCTCTTAGTTTTCTATTTAATTACACTAGCAACTATTCCTTGTTTTGCTCTGTTGTAGGACAAGGAATTGAGACAAAGGCTTCAAGATAGTGAGCACAAATTGGGGTTCTCGATGCCAATAGACATGGCCAAAGAAAGAGCTGATCAGCTTCAATCAGAAGTCACATCTTTAGAGAGGTATTTTCATTCATAGTGGTAGATTTGCACGATCTTAATGCCTTTCTGAAGCTTTGCATCTGCCTCTCATCAGGTTCTTTTATCAGTCAATTAATCACTATATCACCTGCCTATAAAAAATTTTGATTTACTGATCTTGCAAATACAGGCGTCTAATTCTTGCTAGTGGAGTCGAAGGCATGGAAGGATTTCGCCAGAGATGGAGTCTGCATGGTCGCCTTACTGATACCAAGTAAGTTTTAGATGCACCTGTTCATCCTTGCAGTCACTCAGATAAGGCTTGTGGAATATTAAAGATGGCTTAAGTTCATGCTTGTCCTGATCTGGAGTTGTTCTACTTGGTAAAGATAAAATTGTTCTGGAAGTCAGCCTGAAAAAGCATGAGAAGCATATGTTTTGGCTACTTTAGAGCTGGTCTCCACAATCAGTAGATATGTGTATACAGCATAATAAATTATCTGCTGACAGGGGATATCTTATGATGAACAATCTATAGTTACTGTATGCTATCCAGTACCCCCTTAATTTTCCCCTGTGGTTCCTCAGGCCCATGCACAAAATCACCAAAACCTCACAGCAATGCTTCGTTCGAGCTTACATACCCGTGTTTAATCAATCTATGTCAAAATTATGCGGTAACATGATATGTTATTAGCCAATACATTTGGTCAGCGTTAAACAGTTGAGAAACTTGGATTTATATAATTTGTTACTTCAATGGTTCACAGTTCTTATGCAGTTTGAGTTTTGTACAGGCGAAGATTGGAGTCTCTAAAGCAGGGGATTGATAATAGAAAGAAGGACGAGCCTGTTGAAAGAGCACCATCCAAGAGATGGTTTTTTTGGTGAAGATCAATGATACGTTTTGCACAGAATTGCCACTGGATGGCACTGGATATAGCCCTTGCTCCAGTAGCTAGGAGAGACTCTCTTGAAGGCCCCTTTCAATTTCAAGATAAATGGGGTTGTGGACATTTTGGTGATATGCTAGTGATATTGTGAGCCATCTAGTGTCTGTTCTTAATGATCTGCTATTTTAGCAGATACGGAACCAGACAGACGTGAACCGTAATGTAGAAGGTGTAGATGGTTTGAAATAGAGGACTTGGATGAATATCTTGTGAGCCTACAAGTGACTTTACATCATTGTGCTAATTTCATGTATACACCCGGGGCAACCAAATTAATAACCTCCTTGTGCACATCTGAGAAATGTTCCTCCTGAAGGATGACAAGTTGCCCTTGGTCGACCACTCTACTTTCTTTCAAACATATAAGCAGCATGAAGCAATAAGATTTCGGCTTCAAGTTATAACAATCGCTTGCGTTTGTCCATCTTCTATGTGGAAGCTAGGATTGTACATGCAAAAGACCATTCTCGATGAGTGCTAAATGTTGTAAATAAGGTAAATTCAGGTCCACCCCATGTCACTTGGACCGATGAGGACCGCTCTACTCTTCTTGTCATTCACAAGTTGGCCAGCGATGACGTTCGCTTCAGTGTTCTCGAGATGTTCGATGAATATCTTGAAACTAAAGCACACCATGGCTCACAGATGAAAGTCTCTCACGGTCGCCATGGTACCCCCTCAGGCTTCATGGCGTTGTAGTTTCAAGAGAGCGTTCGCCATGAAACGAATGTTGATGTTACTTTCACAGTATGACACGATCGCGGTGATACCAAAAGAATAACGTAATGTAGCGGTACCGTCGCGTCGAAAGATCCCTACCCAATAATGCTCAGAGAAACGGACAAGATGAGAATGAATGTATTGGATCCAACTGAGCATGGCTCAATCAAACAGAAGGCCCATTCGCTTGAACAAGACCAGCCCATCTTCGAAAATCATCTGCTTCACATCATATCCTTCTAAATTCTGACCTTGACTTCAGCTCAAGAAGAACCCTAAACCAGTTACCGGCAGCAACGAGGAGCAACTAATCTTCGTCCCCTCCCAGTCCCAACAGCCATCTTTGTCCGGCTCTCAAGGTTCTCTCTCTGTCTCTCTCCCTCTCTCTCTCTCTGTCTCTCTCTCTCTGTCTCTCTCTCTCTCTCTCTCCCTCTCTAACCTTTTGTAGAGACCATTATGAATATTGTTATGTTGGTGTCGGAGCAGAGAAGATGAAGGTGGTTGCCGCTTACTTGCTGGCTGTTTTGGGAGGGAACACTACCCCAACTGCTGATGACTTGAAGCACTTTCTTGGATCAGGTGGTGCACCCTCCTTCATTTCCTTCCTTTGCTTTTGATAAAATATAGATTTTCATTGGGTGGTTTGATGTTTGAACCGTTTGTGGATCATCTGTTGGACTGTATAATGGTTTGTGTTTTTCTTGTTGTTTCTCGTTTCTGAAGTTGTCTCATTTGTTATTTCGCGTCTTTTGTCCCTGCAATAAGAACCCAGTTACTGGTTAGAGTGCATTGTGCCTGTCCTGTTAGATTTTCCCATAACTTGCTGATATTGAAATTTTGAGTATGTCCTAGGTTTGGTTTCCCATAACTTACTGGTTTGATAATGAACTTTGCATGGCCTGCAATTCGTGCCAAAGCTTCAATTACAGAATTTGTGATGCAGTTGGTCAAATCATACATAGGGCTCTCTGGATTGTGACGTTTTCTTTTTCATGACATGTTCCTCGTGAGTTTGTATTGAAAAAAATGATGAAGTAACAGAGACATGGAGCACGGGAAAAAAGGGGGAAAAAAGAAGAAGAAAGAAAAGAAATCGAACCTATTATACAAAACTGAATTAATTTCCGGTTTTATTAGGAATCTATTTTATATATTAGAGCAAGTGTTTCAAAGCTGTTGATAAGTGAATTCTCATTTCAATGGATATCTTTTTGGGCTACATACTAAAGTATAGGGTTTTTGGGTCCACAGTTGGCGCTGAGGCCGATGATGGTAGGATCGAATTGCTCTTGTCCGAAGTCAACGGAAAAGACATCACTGAACTGATTGCATCTGGAAGAGAGAAGTTGGCATCGGTGCCTTCCGGCGGTGGTGGTGTTGCTGTAGCAGCTGCTCCTGTTAGTGGCGGAGGTGGCGGCGACGCACCGGCAGCTGAAGCAAAGAAGGAGGAGAAAGTCGAGGAGAAGGAAGAGTCTGATGATGTAAGTTTTGTGGGGATTTTGGCTCCAATGTGGTTATGCATTCTTTCTGGTTGCCTCTTGCATTTCTAGATTCTAACACAGTGTATGTACAAAACATGACACATGCATCAACACAGAGCACCTGTATGTTTGCATGCACACGTCACAACACAACCTGATGTGTCAAACAGCAATTTCCTCCATTGGGAGGGTTCAAATCATCTAAATGGATTTTTGACAATGCAAAAATGGTCATCCGACACAACTTTTTCTGTTTCCTGCCAGCCCTTACATGCAATGCATGAGAAAGTAATATGGGGTCAACTCTTCGTTATGTCTGACTTGTTTGTTTAATTTGTTGCAGGACATGGGCTTCAGTCTCTTTGACTAAGATAGAGGTAGTGTTTCCAATGTATGAAGCCTCATTCAGTATGATTTTGGATTGTCCTGGAGACTGAAATATGGCTTACAATAACGATGATATATTTGTGATCTATAGAAGTTATATTCAAACCTGCTTGTCCTGTTTTTCTCACTTATGAATCCGCTTGATCAAGGTCTGCATTCTATGAGCATTATTTTAGAAGTTAAGTGTAGATGCTGTCACTCGAACTAATTGATGGGTGTGGTGGGACTGAGTGATTTCAGAGTAACATGACGTATAAGCATCAGCTAACCTGTTACATCCCCAATGCCAAGTAAGAAATGCTTGGTAGAGACTGGGGGTCGAAGAGTCATGTTTTAGATATGATATGATGATCGGCCATGGTGTAGCGTATATCATAGCATTACTGATGACTAATGACAGGGACTCAAATTGACTTTTACGTATTTATATGTAGGACTCACAAACTATTTTTGTCTTTCTGGAGATATCTAGAAGTTCTCCCAGATGTGTTTTTGATAGTGAAAAATTGTTAAATTTTAATCTCTCTTGTTTGACTGCAAAAGTCTCAAAACTATTTGAGGTTTTGAACAAGTTCATTCATGTACGAAAATGGTTAATTCGTTAAAACACCGCATTGGATTTTCTCATCACCATTTGGTCATGTTTCTAGCATTTCTTATTGAGAAATACTTTCCTCGGTTAGACTTTTAGGTATTCTTTGCGATTGAGGCTGGTGCTGGTGCGATAGGAAGAATTTCAGATTCAGTTAGACTAAACGTACCGAATAGATTGCCTTCTCTGTCTCACTGGCTATTGTATTTCTCTCTTTTTCCAAGTTGACCAGAATCAAAAGACAGATCAATATTAGTGGCTCAAGTGTGTAGAATAAGCGATAATCAGGAATTCGCAGGTTCGGAAATGCTGCTCTCGCTAAGCCGCTTGCCTGTAGGAAGGCAATTATGCCCCAAAGAGAGGTCCACAGGCATCAATGTTCAATACTAGAATCTCTACATGCTCGCAGGATATGCTAATACGAAACAGCTCATGGTAAATTTGGCGGAAGTAAATGTGAATGATGTCGGAGATGCTCCTTAGACTATTGAGTATTTGGATAAGGTAGGATGAATTGGAGTGAAACAATGAATACTTGCCCATAAAGAATAAAACATCAATACACGAGGATGGCCAGTTTTCGCAATTTGGGCAAATTTATATATTTGGGAAGTTGGGACTGTAACTATACATAGAACAGAGCCTTGAGCAGAAACTCCATTGGAACATCAAATGAATTGAAGCAGAATTATAGTGATAGAGGACGACAAATTATGGAAGGATGAGATAAGAGATGATGTTCGGGTTCATGAACAAGAATGGCACTAATAGGTATGGTTGGCTCGAGATGAGCTCAAAGAGACCTAGAGTAGAAGAAATAAACTTAATGCAGGCGACAGAATGGACAGAGCGTGCGGGAATAAGCTGGAGAAACCTAAACAACGAAGACTTGACGCGATCGCCAAACTCGCAATTTGCCAACCAAAAGTAGAGCGAACCAAAAGGACTAATGTGTCTAGTTCCCCTACATTCGATTAAAAACATGTAAGATTAAATCCCACACAGACAGCCTAAGTAATCCTAGGAGTCGATGTTCTTCCAAGTATCCTGTTTTTGTTTTCCAACATAATCCCCTACTGATCTTAGGCTTTTAAGCTTGCGAGCGTCGGGTTTCGGCATGATTCTTCCATGTTGATCAGAGAACGAATGATTTCTCAAATACCCAGAATCAGCTTTACCGCTTTAGAAGACCTAGATGTTCATTACTAGAGCACGATAAACAAACGTACAAAGTACTTGTGCATAATGGCCCACAAGCCAAAAGAAAGCTCTTGGTCTCTAATAATTTAGACAGAGCAGGAACTTCATTAACAAGTTTCTAATAGACAGATGAACTCTTCTCATCTGTATACTCTACTGAGAGAAACACCGACAGGTTTTATCCTCTCCTTCTCGACTCAGTGTTGACAATTGCCCTCTCCATCTGTGGAAAAGAATCGACAGTCAGATCAGTAATTGTAACTGGAGCAGCAAATATGTCAAATTTAGCATCAAAATGAAATCTCAGGATGGTGTACATCTAAATGGCGTAATATCTTGATGAGCTCAATCAGTTTCTACATCCATTACGATGGAGAGAATATCTATCCTCAACTAATTCAACCAAAATAAGGGCACTACTAATGGAATACTGCTGCAACATGATAACGCATAGCGGCATGAGACTCTGATTAGAGCTTAACCATAGACAAGCAGCTCCATTGCGAGTTCCACACTTTGTTTGCAAGTATCGCTTTTGCATAAAGTAAAAAGACTATATGACAAGCTCACATTTGCTTCCCTAAGATGTGAAATTCATCTCATATTCGTTAACAAAATTCTCTTTCTTGTTCTTCATCAGGAATTGCTTGGTGGTCTCTTGTTTATCAGGAAATTTTGAGTTCCAACTAACGTTTTCTAAGTACTTCTCCTGATTAATTGATGGCCTTGTTTGGCTTAAGATTCATTCCTTTAATAACTTCAAAGCCTTCGATATACTAAATTCATAAAGTACAAAGAGTTCTTGGCAAAATCATGAAGAATTGAGTTCGTGTCTTGCAGGAGAAGCATAAGGAGATATCATTTAACAGAGGCAGTACCTGATATAGGGTTCTGAGTTTGTCACGAAAGTGGTAGTACTCATTCACCACCCATTCATACGATGTCTCGCAACTAGAAGAGAACCACAGAGACATAAGTGTCAAATAAACCATCAATAAATACATAGGCAATTATTTTTTTAAAAATTGCAAAAACTAACGGAGAAGCTCTTGTCAAATGCATTCAGTGGTTGGCATATGTTCACATAGTCAGAGACTCAGCAAGAACCATAAGCATTGTTAGGTTAAATCACATGCCCAGGTGAATAAGCTTCTCATGTTCAAAGTCAGATATCCGTGTCAGTAAATTGCTTTTGAAAATCTTCTTTGGATGCAGATCACCGATACTGTATTGTTAAGGAAGAGAGGCCGCTATCTCAATGGAAATGAATAGAACAACAAACTATGGAAAACACCAAAGAGTCTCTAGACGCAGGCATGGTCGATAACATTTGGCATATTGTACCTCTGATCAATGTTATAGCTAAAGTCAAAAGTTAAAAGCTATCATCGAGGCCAGCGTTCAACAGACAAGTACCTAGTTCAAGTGAGCAATTTACTTAAATCACCTAGCACCTTTTGAACTTACAATAAAACCATGCAATAATAAAACGATATTAGTGCATTATAGCTCAATGAAAAACCGGTGCACATCTTTAGAGTTTCAGTAAAAGCTTTTAAACTTTTCACGCACGTCAAATCAACTGCACTTGGTGCAAGGCATTGACTAAGTCATTACTCTATGTTCTTGGAGAAGTCTGTGTATGATTCTAACCTAAATCCCCTTTCATCAATCAAGGAGACAGTAATAACAGTTCATGCTATTAAAAGATAATGCTTACAATGACTAACAATGTTAATCGCTAGGCATTAAAATGCACAATCATAAAGTAAGGAATGCAAGCAATAAACTTTTGGCTTTTAGTAGGTTAATCTACATTGTCTTGTTATGCAGATGTGAGAAAACTAATAACAGATAGATAGACGCTTGTCTATACATTTGACAAGATGCCTGTACATTGTTGAAGGAGACAAATCCTTAGATATAATTGTGCGCATACTGTTATAAGGGTTCTGAATTCATAAATGCGAAGAAAATGACAATTTCTACCTTCGCTTGTCCTGATTAAGGCTAGCATTTACAAGAGCACGAGCTGCTGCAACAACCCGGCAACCGCCAAGGCTACAACACAAGCAATGAGTGCAGGAATATAAGTCATTTTCATGGTAAATAAGGTGTCATTCTGAAAATAACTTGTAATTAACAACTAGGAAAAATTAGATATCAGAATGATTATGACTGATTTCAGTCTGAAGTCTCCGACAAAGAACTAATCATCGTTATTCAAACTATATCTCAGTAAATTTGGCCGAATCTGCATGTGATCAAACTAATAAAGTTTAAAACGTCCAATTTCAAAGTTTTCACTTTGTTTGGCCGTTCGAATATCGCATATACATTATATGTCCGTATTTAGATGCTTTGGCCATGGCACAGAAGTAGCTGTCCAAGTATTGAGCGTGGGAATGTGGCTTCCAGTTAATATGGAACTAGGCCAATGGTATCATTCAAAAGCAAACAAATGTTCGCAGCCTATTTATGTGATGTCGTATGCACACTTTATGCGTTATAACGGACTTGACAGTCTAGCAACATCACAGATCGTTCAAGATTTGCTTGATGTATTTAATGCGCCGGAGACACCACTTAGTTGGAAGTTATCTCATTAGCTAATGTTTCCGAACAATAAGGTAGATCAAATCACGAGGTTCAAAACGCCTATGCTCAAAATTCTTCACACGCTCGTCCCGTTGGAATGTACTAGACAGTTGCCACACGCGCCATGGCCAAACAGAATCTAAATAACGGATATGGAAATCTACCGTTATCTGGTTTTTACAATAAACGGGGACATTGGCCATTGATTGGCCTTCTTGCAAATGCATAATACAAACAGGATTGATCTTCGTGGTTAATTACAAGTATCTGAACTTCCGTAATGCAGCATGCTATGGACATTACTAAAAGGGGAAACTTTCTAACACAAGTGCTTGGAAATGTTCTACTCTTGAAGATGTTGAAGTTCTAATGTCAAGAGATGAACTTTAAGAAAATTTCACTTATAAGACACCAATAAAAATCGACTAGTTACCATTTTTGGAAATGAAAGTGAATCTACCTGTTGCCACCTCCTTTGATCAGATGAGCAGCAGTAGTAACTTTACTAAAATCCACGTTCCTTGCAGTCCTGAAAAGAATCAAGACACCCTCGGATTATCAGCGACCATAGAGCCAGAAAAGAAAAGGACTCAGAGCACCCAATCATCAAAGTCGAAAAAATTGAAGTTTACAGAAGGTCTGCTAGTTCTCTCATGCTGTTGTCACCGTCGCGCAAGAAAGAGTTGATGAGATCCATCATGAGATTTGGAAGATTTGTTTCGTTCTGTACTTTCCTGCTCTCCTCATACTCTCCATCCATGATACCCTAGACAGATAGTAAAAATGGAGACGCAAACTGTCAAGTCTCAAAGAGAAGAAACAACTATTAAAAATGCAAAAACTTTGTAAGATCGTCTGTAATATAGTTTACACCAAGCTAAATCTCCAACTCCGAAAGGGAATTAAGAAACCGTGTTCATCTCCCCTTTATAGTCTATACAAAGACCCTCCATCCAAAAAAAAAAAAACATCATTTCGCGATGGCTCAGCACAAAATAAGATATCCTACGAAATAATTTTACGGGTGATCTGGTGGACAAAAACTAGTGCTACTCTCGTCTCATGGTATATGCATATGAGAAATAATCCCCATTTTGCTACAAAATAAACAGTCAAGGTGGACTGCATAATCATGCATATGCAAAGACTGAGATAGGAAAATCAAAGCTCATGTTTATCAGCTTAAAGTGGGCTTGCTCCTTGTTCAGGACAAGAAAAGGACCATCGCTACTTTGGGAGGCTAGGGAGGCAAAACGATGTCAAATCTAAACGTGCAGACGACTGATCTAGCGAAAAGGGAGATGCTATGGAGATGAAGCTACAGCAGCGATCACCTCGCTCTTCAGGGTGTCAACGTAGTTCTGGAGCCTTTGTTGAGTCATTTCCTCCTCCTCCTCCTCCTTTCGGCTCACACAAGAGAGATATAGAGAGATAGAGCAGGCAAAGAAAATTAGGAAGAAAGGTGGGGTGGTGAGAGATTCAAAGGTGCGGTTTATACAGGGAAGCTTGACATTACTAGGCTTCCGGTTTTGGCTCTAGACCGGAGAAGCGAGGCGAGTCAAATGTGTGTCGAATATCGAGAAAGCATTTAAAGAGCGTGATACGAGTGCTCGAACTCATCTAAACCATCGGATCACATGCATACCCACACGAGATCCCGCCGTCAGCACCCATCTGCACAAGAACCGAGAAGGATTATGCCGGTTCCTCGCGGCGTATCGGAGGAAAAGGGATCAAAAAAGTGTCTCTATAACCCACCTCTTCCTGGGTTGACACTCTCAACCGAATTTGGCAGGATGTACTGCATCTCTGAGTAATACGTTATGGCTTCGCTTCACTTATAGTGGAGGGGCGTTATGGAAGAGAGGCGCACGCGCTCCACGCGCCACCAAACTGAGGACCTTGAAGCGCATTTCCCGCCAACGGCTACTTCTGTTTTTTCGGTCGTCCTTCTTGCCAGTTGGAGCTACCAACTCATGCACAGTTCGAACTCGAGTGCGCAACCTGGTTTTGGTCGAAGCTCCAGTTACTGTCTGAATAATTTCCTTGATAAGGCGAGGAAAATCATGGGTTAAGGAGGTGCAATTAGCCTGGTAATCTTGGGAAAAAAAACCCAGCTTTTGATTAGGTTCCCACGTATTCAAAACCAACCTTTTATGGTAGCTAGCGGATTTTCTGTTCATGTCATGGTTAATGGAGGCCAGAGTGAGGACAAATGATTCAATAGCTTGCTATAATAGCTCTCCTTCCCTTCTTTTTACTCCCTAATCATGAGTAATCTTTAATGAGGAAAGCATGCAGATTTGAATCTGTATGAGCATTTTGTAGCTGGAGAGTCGATAAATTTTCCACATCTAGCTAAGAATCTAAATTATCTGTCACTAGTGTCCAAGTCTTACCAAATAATCTCTCATGGGGTTGAGATTATTAATGGAAGCTCCTTCCATCTTTGCCTTAAACACCCTTTTGACAGTGAGCTCTAGTAAATAGAATTACCATGTTTTGAGAGGATAAGCTAGTTATGAATTTTCCAAGAAAGGAGCGAAAGAATAGTCTCAAAGTATGTAGGGAATTAAGTCATTACCTAATTTACGGGCGTCGCATATTTGTAAGTCCATCATTTTTCTAAGTGAACCGTCTTTGGAAAAGTATTGTAATGTGTAATATAACCAAACGAAGGATTTGCTCTCTTATTATATAGCAAATCAATAGGGGACGCTCCAGAGGAAACTACTCAGTCGAGCGACAAAACCGTCCCTAAAGCTGAAAAAGCCGTCCACAGATGGTACTGGCGGCGGCACACTACCCGTCAGCCTCCTAAAAAGGACCGACGACGGGTAGGTGAGGCCCGTCGCCGGGGTTATTGAGGACGTGTGCAGGAGCCTTCCCTAAAAGATGATTTAGGCACGGACCGTACGGTTTGTTGCCGTCACCAGAACCTGTTTGAGATTGTTGCCTTCTTGTAATTTGAATGTAAGCAGGAACGATCAAAGAACTTATTCGTCACCGTTGCAACAGTTAATGTGTTAGTCAAAATAAGGACATGTTTAGGGCTTTTTTTTCTTCCTCTGACCCAACAAACTTGGGCCTTGCTTGATAAATTGAGAACTACTTATTAATCAGAAAATTGTTTGGTGATAAAGGAAAATTGCACGGTCAATTTATATATGACTAGTTTCTAACGGACATGAAATCATGGACAAATACTAGAATTCCGATTTGACCAAATTAAGCGACTCCTTCCCTCGTCAAAATATTTAAGAATTTTAATCTTAATCAAATCAGCTGCAAAATATTTCTACGTGTAGTATTAAATTGAGTCATCAAATGTGATCGTGGATATTCTATCGAAATGGCGAACGGGTTGAAGTGCTGTTCCTGGCTTGTTTTATCTTAATTCCTCTGTACTAATCAATGAGCATTGAGCACGTCTTTTCCATTTTTTTTCCCCAGATCAAGTTCAAGCAGCCCATGTCAGTGGATAATTTGCAAAGAGAAAACTTGGGCCTTCTCTTTATTTTTACTTTTCGATTGTTTTTAAGATAGTATCATAGCACAACATAAAAAATAAAAAGGAATGAAAAGACGATTACACTTCTGTTGTTAGGTTGATCCACAAATGCCGGGCCTTGAGCTAATCTTTTCCCTCTCCTTGGCAAATCAAGTTCAAGCCTAGCAAGTGAAGGACGCATGAGGGTGGTATGAACCCATTAAAAAATGAATTCAAAAGCACAACGGATAAATCCGAAGCACTTGATAGTGGTCCCTGATTCATTATCTTCCTTCATCGGGGACAATTCATTTGTCCACTGTTTCCTCTCAGAATCAACTTCACGCAACAAGGGCCGGAGGGAATCTGAGTGTTCCACCGGATATCATGTCAGTGGAGAGAACCGTCCACTCTCCATAAATCCACTGATAAATCAACCATATTCAAGACTTTGGGACAGTCACATTTAGGATTTTCACATCTTGGTAAGGTTTGTCACCCCTGTCCACCTTCACCTTCTCTATCCCCTGCAACAACATGATTAGGGTTTCAATTTTTTCTCAATCTGTCAGAAACTTATCCAAAGAATCTATTCAAACAGATAAAGAAATCAACATATCCACACGGCTAGGCCGATGTTCTCGTTATCGAGAAGTTCCTGACCACAGTAGGACTACCAGTTCCTGCAGAAACTAATAAGCCCGAAGCTCAAGCAATGATTGCATTATCGCGTAGGAAACTACTGCATTGCACCAAACTCAGAGAAGCAATAATAGATGCACTGCGATGTCAATGACTATTCATGTATGCTTAGGCAACAGGAAACTTAGATCTTATTACCTGTACGACATCCATTCCCTTGACAACTCTACCAAAGACAGTGTGCTTGTTATCTAACCATGGTGTAGCCACTGTGGTGATAAAAAACTGAGAGCCATTGGTGTTGGGGCCTGCATTTGCCATTGACACTGTGAAAGGCCTGTCATGCCTCAAACTGCAGCAACAGAATGTGCAATTCAAGGTCAGATTTCTTCTGGCAAAAGCATCTTACACAAAAAAAAAAAGCAATTAAAACACTACCCAAGAAGGAAAAAGAAATGCAAGTACATAATAAGAAACAATTAAGAGACTGATAGATTTATACCACACAAAAGAAAATACTACAAACAGGTGAGAGAGGAGTGTTGATAGCCAAATTAAAGTACCACACAAGCTTATCTTGCTTTAACAAGTGACATAGGAGTATTGGCAGCAAACTAAAGTACCTAAATATATTGAATCAGAAATTGCAATTTCAGAGATTCAAAGACACATGTCAGTAAGTTAGGTAGAACATCAGCGAGCAGTCATGGAGGACATAATTTCAGAGGAAAGATGAAAATTCCTATCCTCAATCTTTAAAATCTTTGAGTAGATGTTCTTGGCCATCTAATACTATGAATAAAGTCAAAAGGGCGTCCAATTCCTTAGCTGTTAACAATATTTTTAAGATGAACTGACCAGACACTTCATACCTAAACTGAGACTCTTACTTCCACAACCTGCTTTATATATGCATTTGCAATCTCAGACCAAGAAAACATAATGTTAGGGGAGGCACAAAAGCAAGCGTGCATCGTTGTTTTCCTTCAAAGATACATCTCATATCATATTGATGATAACTAAAATCACCTTTTGTGGAATTCATCCTCAAACTCCCTTCCCCAAATTGATTGTCCTCCAGTGCCATCTCCCAAAGGGTCGCCTGTCTGTATCATGAAGCCTTTAATGACCCGATGAAAGATAAGATTATCATAGTAGCCGTTTCTGCAGTGGGTGGTAAAGTTCTCCACAGTTTTTGGACACTCCTCTGGGTACAGCCGCATATGAATGTCGCCCATTGTTGTATGTAGAATCTAGCAAACAAGCATACAAGCAAATGTCATAAACTAACCATGCAAAGCACTTATAGAATGGATACATGTGGAAGTCACTGAAGAGGCTTATGAACAAATAGCAAAAAGTATATTGCATCATGATCCAGGAAAAATAACAAAATTCAAAAGAAAATAAAACAGGAAGTCAAGTGGAATGAAGATAATTGTATCTTGCTCTTTGGGAGACAAAATGGAGCACAATAGAAACTGAAGAGTTAAATAAACTTCTTATGGTGCTGTTTATGTGTTTGCAACACAGTTTTGAAAAACTTTATTTAATTTATACTCGGTGTGACAAACTATTTCAAATTTCAGAATAGATTTTACAACTCACTGCCGTCTCACTTCAACAGGACCACAAATGAAATTTCAAGATCATTTCACCACTTAAGACCCCCAGTTTAATGTGCTCCAGACTAAAATCTCTACAGATTCACACTCACAGAAGAGCAAAAGTAATTTATCTCTGTTTTATTGACATTGAAGGCGTCTATTCCATGCAATCAACTGTTCTTTGTACTTCACCCCTTTCCCCTAAATTTCAAGATCATTTCACTACTTACGACCCCCAGTTTAATGTGCTCCAGACTAACATTTCTACAGATTCACACTCACTGAAGAGGACGAGTAATTTATCTCTGTTTTATTGACATTGGAGGTGTCAATCCAATGCAATCAACTGTTCTTTGTACTTCACCCCTTTCCCCTAAATTCTAGTAAGAAAAAAAGTCAACCACTCCACCCTTACACTCCCCCCACCGCCCCTTCTCCTTTTCATTTCTTTCCCTCCTTAACATTCTCCCATTTGCAACATCATATTCCTGTCCACCTAGCCGCATGGAAAGAATTCTTTAAAACATTCTGTAGTTCACAGTTGTTCCATTTCCAAAAGTAGCACGCTCAGTTGGGGAGCAAATTCTATATGAACTACAGTTTGGAAATACAAAATCTTTATCACTCTTTGCTTCTCCACATGCTTCTCTCAGAGTTGACAATTAAAAAGTAGGATGGGAACTGGAGGTAAAAGGGGAGAAAAAATCTGCTATATAGAATGACCCACGATAATGTCCTTTATCCAGTTGAGCTTTACAAGAACAATCAACTCTACAATGTTAAGCACAATGTAAGGAGGAAGAAACTCACCACATTGTCGGGAAGTGAAGTAGTAACTGATTTTCCTATATCAGATACAGCCAGAAGCTCATCGGGAGGAGGCTTCTCGTTGAACACATCCCTCCCCTTTGTTGCGTCTTCAGGTTCCTCAGGTTCTCTCCGACTATAATCAAATGCAAAGGGAACTCAAAACTGATCCAGACAAAAACTTGTGTAGAAGAAAACTTCTCACAAATGAAGTAACATGTTGTGCCATAGGATTATAGCAGTATATCTGACGATGCTAAAATGAGTAAAAAAATACACTGGTTAGGCGATATCGCAGAACTTGATCATCTAAGAGATACTGGGACATTAGATAATAAGGACATGCAAAACGTAGGGAATCAAGCACCAAATGCATTTACCCAAAAAAACTATGAACTCCTGATATAGAATGATTCCACACCTGAATAAATAGATTCTATGTTTCTTGAATGCACAGCATAAAAGTGTAGGATCCATTAGTGGCTCCTTGTTCTCATTCGCATTTGCAGCAGCAGCAGGGATTTTTCTA